TAGTCAGCACCTGTGTCTGCCTTTCGAAAACTCCATAGACAAGAAGTCAGAACATATGAGAAGCAGCATCAAAAACTATTCTGACAGCAAGGTTGTAACACACAGCTGACACCAACATGAGGGAACACCCAGAGAAATGCAATGAGATTCTGAGCAAAGTGGCATTAATGTTTGCATTTAATTGGTCCATTAAATTTAAAAAGTAGTATTAAATTGCCTTTTAAAGGAAGAGTAGCCGCATCAGAGACCAAACACTGTAAGTAATCCAGAAGGAAAAAGTAGCGAGGTCAGACATCATTGGTAATGACGTGGACCTGCTGCTGCTCCATACGCTGTCATTGTACCCAAATAGGGCCCTAAGCCTCTTAGCTGGTCTCCTCAGTGAGCCTGCTCAGCATCCCTACGTGCTTGTATTTCCTGTTTAACAGTGGCAGAAAACACAGGCACAATGTGGCTTCCTCTCAAAACTTTTTCTCTTCTTTTTAATTTAGTGATGAAATAAACCCTATGGTGCTTAGCTAGATGCCCAGTCTCCACTGAGTCATAGTCATTGTTGTGGCTAATGTCATGTGACATGATTTACTCACTGGTTACATGGCCAGAAAAAACTTCCTATAGAAGAATGCATTACTGGTGATCAGGGTCTGGGCCAGGCATTTCAGATTCTTGGCCCTTCACTCAAAGAACTGAAAATTAGGGCTCTCTCAGGTTTGCTTTAGAAGCAAGAGGACTTTGTTCTTAGCAAATCAATAGGGCAGGTCATAGAGGGACACTGTTAAGACCGATAGTGGGCCACATGAGTGAGGATGCTCAAGGTCCCTAATTACTGTTTGAGGCTCCCTTTCTGAGGTTAAGGAGGAAGAGCCAGTTACTAGGATTGGCAGATTTTAGGTTATATAACCATTTTTCCTTATTGCACAATCCTTTTCCATGATGCATTTGGATTGAATTTTAATCTTATGCACACCCTATTATATACAAGAATAAGATGATCAGAAGAGGATTCACCCTAAATGCTCCCTAGAGGAAGTAGTTTTGCCTTTCTTTTCTTTTCTTTTTTTTTTTTTACCCACACCTAAAACCTGTTAGTCAATATCAGTCCATCTATTCTTCATACCCAGATACGCTTGAACACACATCTGAATTTGTCCAGGGATGAGGAAACTTATACTGCTGTTTGGATGAGAGGACATGTGGGCTAGCACCCTGTGGGCTGCCAGGGGAGTCTGAGGTTGCTGGGTGCATTGTCTGGGAGACGGTGTGCACGTGTGCATGATATGTGCAGATAAAGAAACTAGGCTCCAAGTGCATTGTTACAAAAAGGGGGTGTGCGTAGCCTAAAACTAAATGGGGGTCCCATGGCAAATTATTCTTTGCTTGCCTGCCTCAGATAGTTGGACTCTTGACAATTCAGTTGCCTTGCCCCTGTATAGGTGTGGCTTGTCCCCGTGCTTAGCCACAGTCCCTGGGGCACGAATGGAGCTGACTGGAAAATAAAGACAAGGGAGCCAAAATCAGCCTCAGTATGTGCCCAACTTTAAGGGACTGGGATGGGTAGTTTTCAACACTGGCCCATACACCACACCCATACATATGCGGATAGCACCAGGACCAATCAAATCAGAAACCCTGTGAGAACTGCCGGGTTAAATGAGACAGTGCAGCTGCCCTGGGGAACAAGGTGATGTTCAATGGGTGTGACCCCTGCTCCTCCTGGCTATGGACAGGAGTTAGGATTCCTGTCAGAGCTCCAGTGCTAGGTTAGAGCTCAGGCCGGGGTTATTGATCAGTTTAGGGCTAGGATTAGGATTAATTCTGGGGTTATGCAGGGCTGTTGTTGGGCTGTGATGAGAGTGTAAGACCTGGGATTATGTTTATGACTAGGGTTAAAGTGAGTTGTTATTGCCTCCCTTTCTCTGAGTTCTCCCTTCTTGGGTCTTGTAGGGAAGGAATAATATCCAGTCTTATGTTCATCCTTCATTCATTATAGGAGAATTCTTTTACTCATGAGAAGTGGTTTTTAACTTTTAATATTATACTATTTCATCACTTATTTTCTGACTTCATCTTCAAATATTACTTAATGTTTTTCATCTTCATGGTGAGCTCTGGAGTTTAGAAAGAATCCTCTCTTCTGTGTCCTGGAGGTTGAATTTAGCCAAAATGTATTGAGCTAGTCAGAGGCAAAATCTAAGGTATAAAGGAGTCTGCTCAAAATAGAACACAGCTCATCTATGTCAATCAGAACATAGCTCATCCATGTCAATCAGAACACAGCTCATCCATGTCAATCAGAACACAGCTCATCTATGTCAGTTATAACACAGCTCATCCGTGTCAATCACTCATCTATGTCAATCAGAACACAGCTCATCTACATAAATTATAACAGTTTATCTGTGTCAATCAGAACACGGCCTGTACATATCAATCAGAACACAGCTCACCCATGTCAATCAGAACACAGCTCATCTATGTCAATCAGAACACGGCTCATCCATGTCAATCAGAACACAGCTCATCTATGTCAATCAGAACACAGCTCATTCATGTCAATCAGAACACAGCTCACCCATGTCAATCAACACAGCTCATCCATGTCAGTCAGAACACAGCTCATCCATGTCAATCAGAACACATGTCATCTGTGTCAATCAGAACACAACTCATCCGTGTCAACCAGAACACCGCTCATCTATGTCAATTGAACACAGCCTGTACATATCAATCAGAACATAGTTCACCCATGTCAATCAGAACACAGCTCATCTATGTCCATCAGAACACAGCTCACCCATGTCAACCAGAACACAGCCTGTACATGTCAACCAGAACACAACTCATCCGTGTCAATCAGAATACCACTCATCTATGTCAATTGAACACAGCCTGTACATATCAATCAGAACACAGTTCACCCATGTCAATCAGAACACAGCTCATCTATGTCCATCAGAACAGAGCTCATCTATGTCAATTATAAGAGGCTTCCGGCCTTCTGAACACTTATGAGTCATATTTAAAAAAAATAAATTGCCCTTGTTTTGGCTAAGGGAAGGGAGCTTTTCTATCTCCGTGGGAGTTATTGAAAGGGACGAAAGGAGCCGTGGCAGGAGAGTAGCACACCTCCAGGGCACATTGCCTGCAGGTGTGCTGCCAGACAAGTTACATTTTCTTACTGAAGTTAGTATTTTAGGTGCCCACAAATTACATACAAAAAGGTCAGAAACTTCCTTGCAAAATGGAAAATACCATTTAATTATGGTATTTGAAAAATCTTCATTTAAAAGGTAACCTTATCCTAAATAAGTTTTTTCCTTATTCACATATTTTGTTTAAAAAAAACTTTTTATTCTTGAAAATGTCATATATCTATAGAATGGAGCTCCATCCTGGATTTCCTTCCTCCAACTCCTCCATCTTCTTTTTAATGTGTCACCCTCCAAACTTTATGTCTTCTTTTTTATAACCCACTAAGTCTAATTAGTCTAATAGTACGCCCTCTTGGGTGTGAAGACCCTGTCACTGATGGCATCATACACTCTGTATGAAGGACGGAGAGAAGCCAGTCTCAAGCTGACTGTGAAACTTCCGTCCTGCTGACTGGCTTTCATAATGTCCAAAGGTGCTGTACAGGCTGCTGTGCTGGAAAAGTCCTCAGTGATCTTACTCAGGGATGGACCCCTCGTGGTGCAATGCCAACCTGCTGGACAGGATGTGCCCACTGGTGCAGTAGTGGCATGACAGTCAGGGCTAGCTCACCATTTCTGCTTAGGCTTGAGACCTGTTCCTCAGGAGGGAAGCGCAGGCTGGCACTGTATTCCTGAGAAGGTCACTGCTACTGTTGTTCGCTAAATGGCCATGCTGTGAAATTGCCATGTGAGCATTTATGTTGATCCCCATAGACCTGGGCATTCCTCAGCTTTGGTCAGAAAATCTTCTTTTGCAGTGGGTAGCAGTCAATGCATAGATGCGTTACTGGTCCAAGTGCAGAGAACAAGTTTTAGAGCTCAGCCCTATGTAGGATGTGTTTATCAACTTCTGCCTTAGTAAGTAAGGTTTTATGGTTGGGAATGGCATGTCCATGTGCTTTCTCTCTAAAGAGAAAGTGTCCCGGGTGGCACCAGCCTTTCTTCAACACCGTGAAGTTTGAAGTTTGAAGCAAGTGAAACACCCAGAGATGGCCTTTGGCAAAACCTCCCTTGGGAGGGAACCCTCTGTAGCCACTCTGAGAATCAGATCTGCAGGTCCTTGGAGCAGGGTTTGGAGTTTTCCAAACCTGCAGGACCCTGCTGCAGGAAGTCTGGGAAGGACCAGGAGAGAATGTCAACTGCCCTCTCGGGGAGCAGGGTTGGCAGGGAACAGGCTGGCTCTGGGACACCCTAGGGAAGCTGGAGTGGTGGATATGAATCCAAGGCTCTGGTGGGAAATGCTAGAGCAGGAAAAAGTAAGGTCCTAGAAATGGCTTTGATGGACGAGCTATTCTTTATCATAAACTTCTTGACAATGATTTTTATGCCTTGATGAGAAAAACCCAAGAGAATCCCTCCAAGAAGACTGATGACTACCTGTTTTCTTCCTGTGTCAGCTGCCTATGAATTAGGATATCGTGTACATTGGGCATGATAAGACAGAAAAAAGATCAGTGTGTTGCCCACATAAGAACCTGGATTGTGACCTGCCCCCAATGGTATCACTTCATTTAATGATACAGAGGAAGAAAATGAACAGCTTTCTACTTAATTCAATAAAACATGTATTTTAAGATGGTTTAATGACCTGGAGATTGCAGTGACATACAGCTCTCAATTGGGTGGCTAATATTTTTCCAGCCTCGGGTTGTTTAAAAGCCCTCTCCAGGGGGTGTCATTTCAGTGCTGATTCAGCGGTGTCTGGGGTCGCCTGTGTTTGTTCCTACTGGATGGTTTGGGAACACATGATGGCTGCGACATTTCCAGTTCTTCCTGCAGCACTTGTTCCCGTACTTCCTTTTTCCCCAGGAAAGTGACAATATTGGAGGACCCTGATCAGCACATTCACCTGAAAAACCTGTCTCTTCACCAGGCAACAACCGAGGAGGAAGCTTTGAACTTGCTCTTCTTGGGGGACACCAACAGGATGATTGCGGAGGTAATAGCATCTCTCCTCAAATGGCTTTTCCAAAATTAGGAGTCATACTAGACTCTGGAGGCTGCAAAGGCCTTCAGAATGATCTTGTTCAAATCTCATGTTGCAAACTAGCAAACCTGAATCCGCAGAAATGAGCTCTTCCCTGGTAACCTGGTGAGGTGGTCAGCTTTAATTGTCAACTTGACACAACCTAGACTCACTTGGGAAAAGAGTCCCAGTGAGCATTGGCCCGTGGCTCCAGTGTGTGACCCCGCCCACCATGGGTGGCCCTGTTCCCTAGGCTGAGCACAAGCAAGCAGAGCATGTGTGCGGTTGTTTTTCTTTGCTCTTCACTTTGAGTGTGACTTCCCCACAGTGATGGATGTGACCTGTGATTGTGGGAAAAGCAAACCCTTTCTGCCCAGTTGCTTTTTGTCAGGATTCCCCCACCCCTTTCTACTCTTGCAGTGCTAGTTCTTTATTCAGATAGGAAGCTGGAACATGCACTACATTTGATGATTTCTTTTTTGCCGTAACATTGTGGACGTTCGCTCCCTCCCACAGAACAGCAATCTGTTCAAGGCCAAGGGAGCCAGGGCAGACACCTAGACCTTGTTGTCCCAGGCCACTGCTCTCTGCTTTGCCACATGGTCTGTCTTTTTACTTTTCTACTTTTAAATTTAATACAGATTGTTTTGCTTCTAATCAGTGACAACTCATAAAACATCTTAATTATAAAATGCATAGTTTTTGAAATTGAAAACCATAAGGTACAGTTCTCTCTTCTTGCTCTCAGATTGTCGGTCTGGTGACATGTGTTTATGTCCCTGCGTGTTTTCATTTAGTTTGTGAGTTAATATTTGTAAAACACTCAGAAAAGCCATGGAACACAGGAAGTTGTATGTCATATGTCCCAGGGCCATGTTTCAGACACGCTTATACTCAAAAGCATCCTTTGGTTATCAATTTAATCAGGTTTCTTTGTTTTGTCTGAGTCTTCTAGACAGCAGCTAGGATTGACCCAAACCTTAACCAGTTCCTGTCCAGGGCTGGAGGCTCATGAGACTCCATTCGGTGACACCTCACTGAAAGGAAATAAATGGTGACGATGGTGGCGGTGCAGTCGGCCATGTGGGGGCAAGTCTCTTATGGGTACTTACAGCTGTCATAGTGGCTTTCTTCTTCATTTTTATAAAAGAATATTGTATATGTATGACTCTTTTGTTCACATGTATGTCTGTGTACCTTATATATACCTGATGCCCAGAGAAGCCAGATTCCCTGGAACTGGAGTTACAGATGGTTGCGAGCTGTCCTGTAGGTGCTGGAAGTCAAACCTGAACCCTCTAGAGAAGCAGCCAGTGCTCTTAACCTCTGAGCCATCTCTCCAGCCCTGGGACTTTCTTTTAAATCATTCTTTCAGACTTCCATGGTTCATATTATTGCTCATGGCAAGCGGAAGGTGGGAAGCACAGAGTCATAGAAAGTCTCCGCTGAATGGTGTGTTTTCAGTTGGATGTCCTACCCTGGGAATGCACTCTCCTTAGACCTAAAAGTGATAAACCCAGACTCAGACCCTGAAAGCATGCTCTTGACATCTTACTACCATTAGTAATGGGCACATCGTTTTATTGACATTTTTCTACTAATTTTTCATGTGTGTATATGTGCTGTGCATGTGTATATGTTGACATGTGTGTCTGCACATGCAGGTAGAGGCCAGAGGTTGATCATAGGTCTCTTCCTCGATCATTCTTCTGCCTTATGTATTGAGGTAGGAGCTCTCACCTAAAGCCAGAGCTCACCAATTTGTCCAGTTTGGATAACTAGCTTGGTTCAGAGGTCCCTAGCTTCACCTTCTGAGTGCTCCGAGTATAGGCAGGCTGTCCATACCTGCCCAACATTTTTGTGGGTATTGGGGATCTGAATTCTGCCCCTCACACTTGTGAGACAAGCACTTTACACATTGTCTTAGTTCCTTTTCTATTGGAATGGCAAAGCACCAATGCAACTTATAAAAGAAAGCTTTTCATTTTGGACTCATGGTTTCAGAGGGTTAGAACCCATGACCATCATGGTGGGGGCATGGTACCAGGCATGGCTCTGCAGCAGTTAGCTGAGAGCTCACATCTTGAGACAGCAATCATGAGGCATGGAGAGAGAGACTTAACTGGGAATGACATTAGCTCTTTAAACCCCTGAGCCCAACCCTAGGGACAAATCTCTAACAAGGCCACATCTCCGAATCTTTGACAAACAGTTCCACCAACTGGTGACTAAGCATTCAAATCTATGAGCCATTTTCATCCAAACAAACACACGCTCTGAGCCATCTCTCCAGCCAGTTGTTTACAGCTGGGTTGTTTTAAATACACTGACCACCTTACACGGCCTGATTATGCCGCATGCATGTAAGGACTCTCCTTTATTGGAAGGAAGTTCACATGGGCTTTCATCTCATGTCTCATTCTGGTTTCTGTGTTTTCTCCATGAGGTCACCTGGAATACTCTTATTGTTTCCAGTAGCTGAAGGTTATGGACTAAAGACAGATTCAAAATGAGCGCACATAAATGAGGAAAGTCTAAGGACGAATCTGACTGTCTCTGTGCCCGGAGATGCAGAATGCAGAAGGGTTTATGGGAAGGAGAAGCACTTTTGAATGCTGTGTTGAGACAAGCAAGCAAGCCCAGCACCGATGCCAGCTTTCCTCAAGGGCGACTCTTTGCTTGTGGCATTGCCCTGTCTTCAGTGGGTTTTGAGAAAATACTAACCATCTTTCACCACATCCTCTGGGAGTTTGAGTGTTTGGCCATTTGTTACTTCTGAGTTTGCATGATTAGTAGATAAATCCCCATCAGGCAATAGGACAGACTTGTGAGTCTGTGAGGTGGAAAACCTGGCAGGTACATTTCACAAAGGGCATTCCTTGAGACTTTTCAAAATGGTTTAAACTTCTGTAGAGTCAGCTAAAACTCGTGTGTGTGTGTGTGTGTGTGTGTGTCTGTATATGTGTGTATATATGTGTGTATGTATGGTGTGTGTATAATATATATATGGTATGTGTGTGTTTACATAGTGTCTGTGTATGTATGGTGTGTATGGTGTGGTGTGGTATAGTATTGTGTGTGTATGTATGTATGGTGGGTGTGTATAATGTATATATGGTATGTGTGTGTTTATATAGTGTCTGTGTATGTATGGTGGGTATGGTATGGTATGGTATTGTGTGTGTGTGTGTGTGTGTGTGTGTGTAGTGTGTGCTGAAGCCCAAAGCTGATACCGAGAGCATCCCTCAATCACTCCCCACTTTATTTACTACAGCAGAATTCCTTACTAGACCCCTGCTCATCAGTTTCCCCTCTAATTCTGCTGTTCATACATTAATATGTGTTCCATGTGCTCAGTTTTCTTGTGTTTGCATTTCTTTCTGCCCTTTGGTAAAAATCAATGGTCATAGTCATGTCTTCAGTAGACTTGTCATGCAAAGGAGATACTTTGCACACATTTTTAAAAACTACATTACTGGGCTGGAGAGATGGCTCAGTGGTTAAGAGCATTGCCTGTTCTTCCAAAGGTCCTGAGTTCAATTCCCGGCAACCACATGGTGGCTTACAACCATCTGGAATGAGGTCTGGTGCCCTCTTCTGGCCTGCAGACATACACACAGACAGAATATTGTATACATAATAAATAAATAAACTACATTACTTATTTACTTATTCATTTATGTGTGTGTATGTGTACATGTACATGCACATGCCCAAGCACACGTGTGCCAGAGGATACCATGTGGGTCCTGGGAATCAAACTCAGGTCTTTGGTGTTGGCAGCAACCTCCTGTACCCACTGAGCCATCTCCCTTGCCCTCCATGCATTGTTTCCAGCTCTTAATTTCCTGGGGGAAGCAGGGCTTGAAGGAGTTCTGTGCCTTGCGAAAGCTCACACAGCTTAGTGTGTGGCAGTGAGGTTCTGGCCACGTCCCCTGGTTCAGAAGCTTATGTCCCTTCACGCCATGCCATCACATCGACATCTGTCAGCTATTTCAAGTATGGATGCACTTCTGGGTTATCTGAAAAGTATTCCAAATATTTAGCATTTTTGTTTATCTCTTGAATTCAATGAAAGCAACCACTTACACATAAAACTGTAAATGAAGACTGTCGGCTCCTGAAAATTCCTTAGTATTCAGTCTGTCAAGTCTGTCATGGATCACAGGCTAGCTGTCGGAATGTAATCTGTCAGCACAGAACGAGCTTCCCATGATAAAAAGAACACACTAACCATTTCTTTAAAAAAATTTCTCAGTTTCCTTTTACACAGGCATCTTTAGGAGTTGCCATGGGAACTAGAAAACATTTGCTAAACAAGCCTGATATGTAGGCTACAAGGTGGACTGTGCTTTCCTTTCGTGGCCAGCTTCTTCCAGAGAAGTCAGTAAAACTACTGCATGTTTATCCAGAAGCCTTAACTTCTGCAATCCTACTACTGCTTTGAACAATACTTGATTGTGTCCTGAGGGCAATTTTTTTCCAGTTGAGTGGCTGAGCCAAAGAGTGTGAATATTGTAAAAACTGAACTGCGAGTGCCCCTGCCCCAGGCCCCCCATAGCTGGTGTGACTTGATATAGCTCTAGTCTCATACTTGAGCCGTTCCTGTCAGTCAGTCAAATGTGACTGAAGGAGGCATGCTGTACATGCTTGTCAGCCCATCCACTTCCCTCTGCGTCCCCTGGTGTGTTCCCGAACCAGCCTGACCTCTAGCATTCTCCCCACACAAGGTGGAGTGCCAGCCTGGACAGGAACATCCCCGAGGACTTACAGGCTACAGTTTCAGGCTTAGTGGACTTGAACTTCACTAAGGTGAGCAGTGTGGACTGACTAAGGAGGTCAGGCAAGTTACGTGAGACGATGTGATTGCTAATCTTGGTTGCCAGCCTGACTCTAACTAGAAGGAACTTTAACCCAGAAATGGAGGGCACACTTGTGATCTGGATCTTGAGGCAAGAGGACACAGGCCTTAT